CCTACAAATGTAGAGGACAACGTTTCTAAAGTCTTTCGTTTGAAGATGAAAGGGGGAAGACTTTCAAAAAGTCATCCTCTACATTTGTAGGTTTCTACAACAAGCAGTTGCTGTCCATTTGAAACTTAGATTCATTAAGAATACTCTGCCTAAACAGCCTATCAAAGATTAGATTATATCTAATTTTTGAAATAAATCACACAAGTACAAACATACACTATAGAAGTTATCACGTACCATTTTCAAAAGGGGTGCCTTCTAGTATCTCCATTAGTAAAGGCTGCTCGTTAAGACGGAGAGCCATTATAAGTGCTTTGGAATGTTTCTTCTCTCTCAGTGTTTTTCTAATTTCTGTGGGAGTAATGTTAGCTTCTAACTGGAATGGGTCAAAAAGCAGATTATGATCAAGGGAGTATATCAGCAATCCTTCTGTTGTTGCCGTTGACCATGCCCGCCCTGTAAACAAGTTAGTACAATTCTTGAACATTATTAAGTTATATCAGCAATCCTTCAGTTGTTGCCGTTGACCATGCCCATCCTGTAAACAAGTTAGTACAATTCTTGAATATTATTAAGTTATATCAGCAATCCTTCAGTTGTTGCCGTTGACCATGCCCATCCTGTAAACAAGTTAGTACAATTCTTGAATATTATTAAGTTATATCAGCAATCCTTCTGTTGTTGCCGTTGACCATGCCCGCCCTGTAAACAAGTTAGTACAATTCTTGAACATTATTAAGTTATATCAGCAATCCTTCTGTTGTTGCCGTTGACCATGCCCGCCCTGTAAACAAGTTAGTACAATTCTTGAACATTATTAAGTTATATCAGCAATCCTTCAGTTGTTGCCGTTGGCCATGCCCGCCCTGTCAACAAGTTAGTACAATTCTTGAACATTATTAAGTTATATCAGCAATCCTTCAGTTGTTGCCGTTGACCATGCCCGCCCTGTAAACAAGTTAGTACAATTCTTGAACATTATTAAGTTTGTCCTGATCAACCAATTACACGACAAAAGTTATTATTTCTCAATCTTTACACCAGATGACAGCACAAACACCTGTGGTATAAAAAGGAAAGTGAGATTTTAAAAATATGTCCAGATATTTCAGTCTTGATGAATTGAAAACACATCAAACCATTTTCTTTTGAGTATGTTTGTGTTCTTGTTAAAAGTATAATAAATACAAGTGTCATTCTTTTAAACAAAAAGTTACACTAACTTGGCCTTGTTTCTGTGCAGTATAAACTTTATAAAACTGACAGCTACAGTCTACAGACTTCACTCTTACACCATAGTGTAAACTTTATATTATAAAACTGACAACTACAGTCTACAGACTTCACTCTTACACCATAGTGTAAACTTTAGATTATAAAACTGACAACTAGTCTACAGACTTCACTCTTACACCATAGTGTAAACTTTATATTATAAAACTGACAACTACAGTCTACAGACTTCACTCTTACACCATAGTGTAAACTTTATATTATAAAACTGACAACTACAGTCTACAGACTTCACTCTTACACCATAGTGTAAACTTTATATTATAAAACTGACAACT